ACAAGGGGCGAGAAGCCTCTCACGACCACCTCCTGATCAGGAATCATTAGGTCGGGAGAATATCAAATCTGTTTGAAATTCAACCGGTTGTCTAAGGTCGCATCAGAGCGTCAGGCCACACAGTGTGAGAACATGCATCATAAGCTGTGAACTTTTAAACCCTGCGGTTTTTGTCGTACGGTTTGAGCTGTAGCTTAGTTCAAAATATCGCAAAGTGTATGCCAGGCTTAAAGCAGAAGATGTCGCTTGTTGTTTATATTTGCAAACCTCTGCCAATAGGAGCTGTGGCTCAGCAGCCATGTTTTTCCGCTCAGGGCTGTGCAGATAGTTACAAATTTCCTGGGTGCATGGTGCAGAAAATCTTTCGCATGGAAGGGCGCGGAAGCTAAATTGACGTAATTCACTCAGATTGCACTGAGGCATCGGCAGTAAATCAAACGGTTCTGGGGTTCCTGTCTGCCTCAGGGCGGTTCTTTGACTCCTCACAACCACCACTACGCATTTTATGGAGAAACCCACAGGTGTTTGGATCCAGGTGGTTACAGACACCCGTATGTACAGATAAAGACTGTTGTTGGTTAAGAAGGCCATTAAAACATCTTTTAGTAGTAATTTAGTTTATTTTTCAGTGCATTATTCATATATGGTTGTTTGTACCTGCCTTACTTTTTATGTTTATTCTGTTCTTTCTCTCTTTCTGCCAGTATAGAAGCAGAATCCTATGTTTTCTGTCTTTATATCCTGTATTCTTATCTCCTTCTAGAGCTGGGAATAGATTCAGGGTTGTGATAAACTTTACCGTCTTATGGAAGTCAGTGCTTCAGATGTTGAGTGTTCTGTTTTGCTGGAGATGTTTGCGTTTCTGTTTACAGCTGGGTGCCTTAGGTGATAATGTCAAACCGTTCTGACACCCAGTTTCACTAATGCACACTCTGTGGTGTACTCACAGTAATGCATTACATCACCATGACAACAAGCGTGCTAAAGCGGAGCCCCATGCCTGTCAGATGAAATTAGTTGGGTCTTGGTGTTTCGCAGTGTGATTCTGTGTCAAACAGGCTAGAAAAGATTGCATGGATCATTTTCATTGGTTAAAATCAAATATGGTGGCTGTCCAGTTAAAATTGGGAAAATTAATTCATTGTAGCAAATAAAAAGGTCTGCAAGAGAATTTACCTTTTATATGAATAACCTTTTCATATTCTTTCAGAAAATGTACTAAAATAAACACTTATATTTGTTATAACTGAGCCTTCATTCTACCTTTAATTAGAATAAATCAAGAAACCATTTAAACAAGCAGATTTTAGTCAGAGAAGATCAAACAAAGTGTGAAGTTCATGTATTGTTTTATAATGGCTGCAGATGGAAAGTATAAATCCTCTGATTGAAGTAAACAAGCCATAGTTTCCCATCAGTAATTATCCTGCATGTTGTTTGTCAGAGAGAGGAGGGATTGTGGCCGTTGTTTTCCTCCACTAATTACAGGAACCATGTGGTCATTAGTGACCCGCTTGGCTGGCGGTACCAACCTCTCCATCTGCGTGATAAGCAGCAGGAGGAATTTGCTCAAAGTTTACTAAACGAAACACGCTGTGCTTTATGTAAAATTCACCGGATAGAAATGATGTTATTCTCTTGAAAGACACAAACCTTTTGTCTGGGAGGAGCCAAACAGAAGCTCCCTGAAAGGTTTTTATTGAAATCCGAGTTTCTCTGCCATTTTCTCCAGATCTCTGATGCATTATATCCCTAAATCAGGCCTGACCGTCACTCTGCTGCCAAAACCGAGTCCATTTAGGACGACTGGTATCGACTAAGTGTTTGGAAACAGCTGTAGATCTTCTGTTTGAACAACAAAGCTTCAGTTGGTTTGATTTTGCATTGCATTGTTAACCTGCTGTTTGACTGTACTCCGCTGTAGTGTGCGTTTGAAGGTGTTGGCTTGTTGAGTATAAAAGCAGAAGCAGTTGCCGAAACCCAGATGGTAGATTTTTTTTCCCCCTTTAGGCAAAGAGAGAATAAAGGAGGGGAAATTGAGAGCTTTTCCATCAGGAAAAGCAGCGTGACTTGATATATTCAGTAAAATATATCCCTTCAGGAAATAATTTTTTTTTTAAAAAGCCCCTTGGATAAAAAGAACTGTAATTTGAAATGTATGATATTCCCAAAATAAATGAGATATGTTATGGATTATAAACCACCCAGCTGGTAGAATCTGAACATGGTTTCCATGCTGCCTTTCTCCATGCCTGTGTTACAAGTATTGCCGTCTTGGCAGAGCAGCTGAATAATCCCTCAAATACGATCTGGGTAGTGGATAATCTCTGGATACCAACTGGACTGTTTGCAGGGAAACTAATTTCACTGCATCTGTTGTGTGTTGCTCGTCTAACACCAAAATATAAAGCTTTAAATCAGGTCCTGAGCTGTGCATCTCCAAAATAGACATGTTTTGTTATAAAACATAAGTTCATTAGATTTCCAGCATGTTTCTTGGTAATGTTTTTTTACCCTCTGATGTTTACAGAATGAAAAAACAGCCGCCATTGTGTGGTTTTTTTGTTGTGCTGCATCAAAGGTATAGTGGATGTTCTTTTTCCAGGTGGATCATCAAAATAAGTGGTCCTTGTTATTGTCAATCATCTGGGTTATATGTTAACGTAAGGCCGTCCTACATGCTTGTCCTCATTTACACTTAGCGGTGGTGATTCTGACATCTTGGAAAAATTGTAAATCTTTTGGAAAGGAAGCTTGTATGAGCGACGCAAACAGCAACTTTTAAACAGAGCGTGCATGAGGTGCTCTCCCACGCGTTTATTAGGCGTTCCT